CCCCCCGCCCTCCCCCCCCCCCCCCCCCAGTCTTTTTGGCTCTGCAGGAATTAGAAATTCCACTTCTGATCACAGCATTTGGGGCTATCCTAGGAAACATTTTTCTTCTGTGTATAAGCTGAAGATAATGGATGGGATTCCACATGAGGTTAAGAAAGCTGGAGAGTAAGTACAGACATCCAATGCATATAAAATGCTTTCAGCTATTCAAAACACCTGCATAGGGCTAGGAAACCTGACACAATCCTTGAGGAAGACACATATTTCTACAGGAACTGTGAGAGAGCAGAAATATCCTACAAAACCGAAATAATACTAAAGGATGCAGCTGAATCCTTCCCAAAGCTGGGTGCCTACAGTCATGCTGCTCACTTAGGGTCTCATTACAACTAATAAAGATCTAATCAGCATAATCCAAGGAGCCTAGAAAGCATCAGCTTACTGAGTAGATATCGATGGCTTGATTTCATTGCCCATCAGTAGACACCTAGTATTATTTCTGATCAGACTCATGACTCCCAAACATGACACAGGATTTGGGGAAGACCAGTGGCCTTCTAGAGTGGTATCTAGAGGCCAGCAGGGTAGCTCTTTAATATCTCAAACAGCACTCAATATCTGTACAACCACCTGTCAGCTGGTCACCTGAAGCTTCCTCTGGGCTCCACTGACTATATTGACTAGATGCTCATTTTAGCTGACTAAGCATAAGAACCTAATACCATCTGAGATGTGTAAGTCTTCCATGTGACTTTCAGAAGCTAAGGACTCCTTCAGGCCTTTTGTTATATTATCGGATCCACACAGGTGACAAACGTTAATCTCAGACTGGATCCCAAGCAAGATTTATTATCTAATATTTAGAGTTAACGGACGAGGAGGTTACTAGACGAGAATTTAAAAAAAAACCCAAACAAAACAAAAAGCATAAAATGTTTGGGGACTTTCAGTTGAGGGCATTAATCAAGAAGACTGTTACTAGTAAGACTAAAATTTGTACTTGTGTTATGGAGCCAATGTTATGCACAGAGTTTCAAATGCACACCAGTGTTATTGCTGGCTCTTCCTTAGATAACAATCTAACAAATGAAATCTCTAAAACCCATCCTAAAAACTGAGGAACGTAGTTTTGCTACTTTGTACTGTCACACCTGTTTAGGTACTCTTCCCAAACTAAGCCTCCATTTTCTTGTGATAGATTTATATACAGCCAACAAAAGGGCAGATTTCTGCTCTAGGAACCTCCAGTCTAATAACAAGACAAGACACAGCAGATAGAGACCAGTGAAACCATGACACATCTTTATGTGTCAAATGCTCTCTGCACACTGGCAATCTGTTAACTCCTGTAAGAAAACAAAATTTCTATTAAAAGTTCATAGGTGGAAAATTTATATAAAAGCTTTTTTCACTATTTGAAATTAAATTTAAAAATCCAATCTCAGAAACATGAATAAACATTTTTTTTTGTAGATTGTATCTCAATTATACAATCTACTAATCCTGACATCATCTCCCAGTCCACACTGAAGGGGTGAGTAAGATGAATTCATGACTATGATTTTTGTCCCTCTTTTTCTTTTTGGCTTTCAATTCTCCTCTTATTCACCAGCAGTAGTTTCTCTGTGCCCTTTCATTAGACTGACATTAAAAGATGGTGACTTCTGTAGGGAAAGTGTGAATTACTTATCCAAAATAATGAGACAATATGCCATGTGGAAAAAACAGAAGAGGAAAATCTCTACAAACTAATTTTCTGAGATTTAATGGTTACATCGGTCCTGAAAAAAACACTGCAATAATAAATACATCGTGCAGAATGCCAAAATCTAAGGCATATTTTTCCCCTAAATATCTGACTCCTTAGTGTCAGTGGTTATCATTGGAGCACTGGGAAGATTATTCTACTCAATTTTTGCAGGTGCACAGGAAGATTCTTTTTTTCCCCTCAAACCTAATATTTGCAGATGCACATTTAGCAGGAGGTTTGAATTTAATTTTTTTTTTTAAGCTGTGTTGTTTCTAGTAGAAGGATGAATTTGCTTATTCAGTGTGCACTGGTATTTCATAAAGATCCATCTAAAATACCTATTTGCAGTGTGTGCAACACAAATGCACCCCCAAACAAAACAACACAGAACTGCATGAATTAATATGTTAAGCTGAACTAGAGTTGATCTGCTTGAGCATGCCTACAATTTCAGAGGTTTGTTGCTGCTCTAAGTTGAAACAAACAGAAAAGAAAATTAAAAATCACTATTTGAAGATTTTCTCTGAAAAATGCTTCTACTTCTTTTAATCTGTTTTATTAGTTTTTTGGAATGACGTTAAAATTAATTTTTTCAAGTAATTTTATTGTTCAGCTCACAAAAGAAAAGCCAAGGTGTAGGATTATTTATTTCACTTACAAATGTAAACAGATTTTGGAAAAAGCACTCAGGAAATGGATTAGCAAATGGTATGCAAGAACACAACCAGAAGCATTTGGGTACTGCAACCTGGCAGTACGACAGATCTCCTCCAGTGATCCACACCCTGGATATTTTAGGCAACTGTGTCTCATCTCCCTTAGAAAATTCCAGCTGAAAACCAGTTCAGTTGCTTGCCTCATAACTCACATCTTGAAGTAGTTACAGAACCTCATTGTTCTGTTAAACCAAATTTGCCTCTAGCCTAATTATAGCTTTTCCCTATAGATCAGTTTTTCACCTTCTGATAAAAGACTCAATCATATATCAGGCTTTTAAAAGCAAAGACAGATCCTCTTTGTAAAACAGACCCTCCATTCCCTTGTCATAAACTGTACCTACACATCTTACAGGTTTTTTCCTTTTTAACTTGGACAGTTAGAATTGTACACGATTCTGATAAGCATTGTCTTTCACCAGGGCATTAACACTCCCATCTTTACCAGAAACATCTGACCCCAAGCATCCTTGCATCATAATAATCCTTCTCACTAATGTTATACATTTTTAGGCCACACTGATTCTGCAGAATAATTCAACAAAAGTGCTACAGTGACACAAACACTAATGCTCATTAAGTCAATCTGGAAATTAGATTAAATCATCTAGATAGACTGATTCCAAAACAGCTTTCCAGATGGAAGACAGCACGGGGAAGAACACAGTTAGTACGCATCCCTTGAAATGAGGAACATGTGGTGTCCTGTGAAGTGATGTGAGCAAAAGCAGTGATCTCAAGTTTCTATTGTCATTCAGGGCTGAAAATATCCCAAAGAGGATGGGAGAGTGAGAGAAACTGCAGTCAAAATCCTTCTCTCCTGTAAAGTGATGGAAACCACATGGTTCAAAGGGGCAATTTCAGAGGTCAAGACATGACAGAGGGACAGGTAGCCTTTAAACCTGGTTCTCTCCTTTCCATTAAAATTCCCTCTCCTGTGTGAAATACAGAATTCTATGCTTTTATGAAGTTCTCTCCCATTTTATGGCATTGGATTTCCAGCACCTTTAGTACTTGAACCCACGCTATGCTCTGAGCTGGCACCTCTGCTGATGTTTCAGTGCCTGTCAAGAATATGCAAAATCTCAGTTTCCTGCATTAGGAGGAGATTAGTGACAGTTCAACTACAACATAATCCTTATTCAAAGGAAGCATCACATTAAGGTATTTGAAAATATACCACTGGGAAAAAAAGCACTCTGGGGACAAAAAATGTTTAATTTTCTTTGTATTTGCCTATTTGTCCACATTGCATTTTTAAGTTATGTCAACAATAAATCTGTATTTCCCTTCTATCTTTAAGGGCTTTTATTTTAATTCTCTGGTTTTAAGTGCTACTTAAGTATTTGCTTTCCACTGGATTTTGAGACCTTCTGTCAACAAACTCCCTAAAATTTTCTCAGTTGCTTTTGATAGTATAAGTGTTTATTTATGCAGCAATATATATTTTGTATAGTTTGCAATATTTCACACTTTTATTCACACTGTGAATAAAAATTTTATATACTACTTGTTCAATGATAGCTCACTAAATCAGAGGAAGATATATTTAATGTTTGCAGTGTCTCACTATGACATGATATGCTATTACTGATAAACTGATCCTCTATTTAGCATTAATCAAAATATTCAGCTCATATTTATCATTAAGAATTACAAAATATGGGTATTTATAGTGGGTTTTGTTTTTTTATAATTTTTTCTACAAACATTTAATTTTTAACTGGCCATATGGCTGAAAACTGCAGGAATACATGTCTCTTTCCCGGAATTATATTCACAGATCAGGTCAAAAAAATGGTTACTCTAAATTCTGCATATTATGTTTAACCATTCCTCAGAAAAGATCAAAGGCAGTTTTGTCAAACACAATGTGGGAATTTGCTCATTTGAACACTTCAGTACACTTAGTCTTCTAATCCAAAGAGAGAGAAACTAGCTTTCCAAACAAGGAGATAAATTGAATTCAGTACTTGAAAGCTTAGAAAAATTCATTAGCTCTATACATATATTAACAGAAAGAGCTACTTAAAATAGTAAAAAACCCACAGTACTTATATGAATATAATTTTATATGTACGTGTCTGAACCACATTAATAAAGTGTATGAATGAGGCAGCTGCTGATGCATTTAGTACTCTTACTTGTGAGATTTTCCACATACATGTGTTGTTCGTCTAGAATGTATTTCTAGAATGTATATCTAAAAATATTTTGCTCAGGGAAGATTTTATTATTGCTATGAATATTCACTGCAGAGAAAGAACCAAAAGAGTACCAAATTTCCCCTACCTACTGTTAGGTAGGCAATCACACTAATTAATTGAAAATGTGTTGTTTCCTAACTGAACCAATTATGCAGAAAAGGCTGCCTGAGGTTGAGCTAAGCACCCTCCCATTAGCACAGCCACAGTGCAAATGACAGGAAAAGAGAAAAGAGTGCAATGAAAAGCAAAACATAATGCTATTTATAACTGTGCATTAAAAAGGAACCGTGAAAATGAAAAAAGCCAAAGCTACCCGTGGAACAAACAGCCAGGGTGAAAACCCTTCTTCTACTCAAAGTCCAATAGCCAGTTACCATTTAAAAAAAGCTTGTGCTTCATCCTGCCAGCTCTCTCTGATAAAGGAAGGGGTCATTAAGCACCTGTTCCTTCTTCAGACTAAACCTTATGAATCACCACATCAAAATTGTTACTAATATTTTGTATACCAGTACAATAAAAAACAAATGAGATGAGAAGTAACCTTTTTGATTGCTCAAATCAAAGTAAACATATTAATGAGCAAAACATGACTGCTAAACCATTCAAATTCACACACTCACCTGTTTGGTAGGAAAAGATGTCCAGCAAGCTATAAAGATAATATCATGGCATATGCGAAAGGAAAGAACCATTTAAAAAAATTCTAATTTATACTATACTCCATTTTATTCAGTTTACAAACCATTTTCAGATATCCTATTACACAATTATTTATTCATTTCCACCTGCATAATTTCTAATTTTTCATCAAAACAGTAGTTACACAGCTATTTACTGTCTTTGTCTTAATAAATTCCCTGAATCAAAAACATAGACTGCACACAATCCAATTCCCTGTAAATATCAGCTAAGATTCCATTAAAAGGTGTAACTCTGCTCTTTCTGAGGGAAAGGAAAATATACTGTGTATATCAGAATTCCTTCAATTAATTTTTTATGTCAAGCAAAAAGTTTTGTGACAAACCACACCTCTTAGAAACTTTGTTCTTCTCTATTTTGCATTACTCATCCTTTCTATGTATTTTCTATGTACACCTAAAAATATCTCATGTAGTCAAAAAAACACCCACTATATCACTATTATATGATTACATGAATACTAGAATGCAAACCTTCATAATGTACTTTATGTCATACAGACTGCATTGATTCATTTTGACAGGAGTAAGAACCTCATCATTTGCTTTTATTGTCCCCAATTAAGACAGGGTAATTGATATTTCTAGAGTGAATCAAAGCAATACTGTGCATGGCTTTCATAAGAAATTATTTGCTTTGTGTCAATGGAATACAGCCATCAATCCATATTATAACAATAATGTAAAAGTTTATTTAAACTTTCACTATCATTATAGCTACAATAACCTTCACACCTATTTTATATACCCACCATAATGAAGCAAAAACATTTCTGCTACTCTGATAGCTCTGGAATCAGCGAACTCAGAAGAACTGCAGAAAAATAAATGGTATCAAGTTAATTTTTCAGCATCATACCCATGCATAAAATAGATGCTAATAACATTAGAGCCCAATTAACTGCAAGAGGTTTGTGCAAGTATAGTAAAATGAATTTGTTACTCTATTTTTAAAACAAAATTTAACTTAAAAGCTGTCTAAAGAAAATTGATTTCTACAGAAAAAAAATCTGAATTGCTACTTGAATAGCAATTAGGTATAGAAAATAATAATGCATCTGTTGTGCATGTGTACATACATTTCAGAAGAAAAGGGTCCTTATAAAATTTCTTTGATTACAGACTCAGAACTTACAATTTGGAAATATCAAATGCTGTTAACTATTGGTTATTTATGATTCATCTGTTCCTTTGCATGCTGGTGGAACATAACTCTTAGCATAATAAAAAACAAACAAATAAGAACAATAACTCAGCACTATTTACAGATGACCGTTTCCAAAAATCTGGGAACTGTGGTTTGAACTCAAGTCATACTCAGACAAGTGAAGGTCCCAGCCATTACACATCACTTTGGGATCTTAACTATGACGCCCAGTTTGGTCAGTCCAGTGATTCAGATTTTAGCTGAAAGGTATTCTCTATTGCTTGGTAGAGTATACATATAATTAATGGACTTCATTTAAGATTAGGTAGGAGGAATACAGTTCTAAGTCCCTAGTTCTTTTTCCTGATCTCTCCCCTATGGTAGCCTATTTCTATATAATCTTCATAAAAACTGCTTCCAAAATTGCTATCACATTTTTTTCCCTATTCTTCCACTACATTATTAATTCACAGAAATATGCCTAAATCAAGGACCTGACTAAGTAATCTCCCTTGCTGTCTTGTTTGCCTGCGGAGGAGCAGAGACACCTCCCTGCTGAATTAGTGAGCTTGGTTTAGATCTGTGTTTTAGGAAGAGCTGCTCTTAAGTGAGCAAACCTCAGATGCCCAAGCAAAATAAATCCCGCCTCTAATTTTTTATCTCAAAGAGAACGACCAGCAAAACTGAAGCCACATACTTATCCCACTATAGATGCTGTTGCAACTTACTATGCCAGTTGCAAAGCTTTTGTTCATGTTATTTCAACTGCACCCAGCACGACACCAACTCTGTCAGAGACATTTCCCTGTGACTTTTGGAAGGCAGAGTCACAGAGCGGCTGTGAGGGTCCGTGAAGCCAGCGGCTATGCAGGAAGCAGCAAGAAATCTGGAAGGACAAGGACAGAGCCTCAGCAGTACGGACCACGTTCCCGGTGTTGGGCAGCTCTCAGTGTCCTGCTGCCGTCCCGCCTGGGAGGTGCCAAGCTCTGGTGGTGCGGGAGCACTCCCTGTGCAGCGCTTTGTTCCATTGCCACAGGCCAGTCCGCTCCACAGAAGCGCCGAAAAGGCCTTTAAGTCCCTGGAGCTCACCCCTGGCCTACAGCTAAATAAATTCAGCTTGTCTTTCGCTGCGTAACAGCAGTCCCGTTAACTGGCGACACTACTGGCGTCATACCCAACTCGTGGTCTAAATTTCACCTCAGGTTTAGGTAGCGGCAGTTCCTAGCGCGGCTCACGCTGAAAGCTGGGCTCACTGCCCAGGCCCAGCGGCGATAGCCCTGGCCTGACCGAAGCAGCCGCTCTCGGGCCGCCGCGGGCAGCACAAGAGATCTGCTCCCGTTCCCGCCTCGCCGGGATTCAGCCCCTACTGCGGAAACCGCTTTTTGTTCCTTTTTCTGCAGTTGGCTTTTGCTCCGCTTGTTTTCCGTGCCCTCCGTGCCGCGGGGCGGCGCTGCGGGCGGAGGCCGGCCCCTCTCGCTGCCCGCCGCCGCCCGGCCGGGGCTGACGTGTCGCGGCGCGATGGCGGCGGCCTGGGAGGAGATCCGGCAGCTGGCGGCCGACTTCCAGCGGGCGCAGTTCGCTGAGGTGGCCCACAGGTGAGCAGGGCGGCGCCGGCACCGCCGCCGAGCCCGCCTGCCGAGCCCCCTCCCCGCGCCGGCCGCCCCCCTTGCCCCGCGGGGCCCAGCCAGGCGCGGCCCCTCTGCCTTCCCCGAGTCTCTCCCTGAGGGAGCCCCGCGGGCCCTTCTGGGACCCCAGAGCACGGGCAGGCCCACGGAAGCGACTGAGTGTGTAGTCACAACTAAGTTCGAGTTGCTCAAAATCATCGCGGCTCCAGTGCTCGGTTTCTCCCTTCTGTCTGCTTGACCAGTTGAGATCGTTGCCCAGAACTTGTTTTTGTTAAAGAAAAATGAATCGCAAAAGCGTAAAAGTAAAATAAAAGCGCACAGAAGTGTCACAGACACGAATTCTTTAGTTACAGGCGTTCCTATATTCGCCAGCAGGTGCGTTCTCACAGCTGACAGGGCTGATAGCTCTTCATGAGGAGAGTAAAAGTTTTGGAGAGGTGACCCGCCTAAGTGAAGCCATATGGATGATTTGGTGGGTGATAAGCTGGATGCAGACATTAATTTCTTTGTCCGAAAAAGTATATTCTCAAAGAACTGCGAGCGGTCTTCATTGTACTTCTTGTGCTTAGTATGTTTGAAATATCAATTTAAAGGGAGTTTTAGGAAGTACTTCCTTAGAATAACTACTGACTCCTGCTTTTGATAGATTGTCAGAACGGAACTGTATAGAAATTGTCACAAAACTGATCGCAGAAAAACAGTTGGAAGTAGTGCACACACTTGATGGCAAGGAGTATGTCACGCCAGCACAGATTAGTAAGGAGATCCACGATGAGCTTCATGTTTGTGGTGGTAAGTGTGGCATTTTCCTTCTTCCTTTGGAATTAGAAGTTAATTTTGAAGGCTACAGAAAGAATTTGAAAGCTGTCAGTATCCTTAATCTTTCAGAAAAAGTCAGTTTGCTTCATCTACACATTAATTCACCTGCTTTTATTTTCATTTCAGATCTGGGTCAAGCTTTTAGATTTTTACATAAGATATGTTAATTGCTTTATTTTCACTCATGTAGAATTTCTGCCACAAAAGTTGTATAAAAATCCTTTTGAAGGAAATTTGGCATTTTAATATAGTTTGGTACATGGCCAAGATGTTTGGCCTTGTCTTGGAATTTCAGTCATTCTTCTGTCACCATTAGTAATAATAGTAACAATAATAATAATAATAGTAAAAATAATAGTAATAATAATAATTGTAAATTGTCATTGACAGGTCTTTTATTTTACCAATGTGAAGAGCCACCTGTATTGGAAGATGTGACTTAGGAAGCAAGTACTGTTCAGACAGCTTTTTGTCAATGGCTTTTAATGAACAGGCAGTGTACTTTAAGTTATACTTAGGGGTGAATTTCACAGCATCATATGTTTAGAGAAATTAACTTCTTATTATGTCCATACAGATTAGCCATTTTCTCACTGTGACCACAGGTTTGCCTCTGTTTGTGTTTTGCCATTGTGTATCATACCAGTGGGACAGCTTGGACTGAATTAAAATTTCTGGGCTTTTTGTTAGTAGCTTCATGCAAAGGTAGAGAGTTTTAACAATCTCTGGGTAATCATGGACTAGTTTACTTGGTCTACAGAAAAAGTAATTAAATACTGTGTGCATAGTGAGCTCTACTATATTCTAAATCTGTTGAAATGTGTTTCATGTACTAAAAGTGTGTTTTAACTTTTCTCAAAGGTCGAGTTAACATTGTCGACTTACAACAGGTAACTTTGTAATGAAAACTTTATACTTCTTTGTTTTCTTCACCATGCATAGTGTGGATATGGAGTTCATTAGTTATACTCCAGCTAAGTTATTTTTTTAAAACAGTACAAATTTTATGAATAGCTGGTAGCTCATGTCAACGTACTGCAGATTACTTAATCTGTCCATTTATTGCTTTGTTGAAATGTCTCTGTTAAGTGATAATCTAGGACTTCTGAAATCACTACTGATATATACAGTTTTTGTTTATGAACTCTTTCTTTGTAAACTAAGGAAGACAGAAAAGAAATATGATGCCCATATAAATTTAAAGCTGTAGGAGCATGCATAATTAACTTTGCATGCCTCTTTGAATCTTCCCTCTTCCTTCCTTATTCTCTTGTCTCCACTAATCTTTGTCCTACAGTACTCTTCCTCTGTGGCTAATTTTCCCTTCAGGCTTGAGCAAAATTACTTGGAAACAGAAAACGTTTCTGAAAGCCAGTTTTCTATTTTCTCTTGCTGCTTTCTGGTATTTTTTTATTATATATGTTTCTTTTAACCTTGTAACAGTTGCAAAGAGAGGTTGTTCTTTTTTCCCTAAAGCACTGCTGCTTTGTTCCAAAACACAGATTTAGTGTGTTTTTGTGTGCAATAGTATAAAAAAAATAAAAGCAGCTTTCCTCAAGATGTAGGAATGTTGAACTAATATTCCAGTGTTTGAGAATGATTTTCAATTTAAAGTTCTGATAAGAGGTGTTTTTTTAGGTAATAAATGTGGACCTTCTGCACATTGAAAACAGAGCTAATGACATTGTTAAATCTGAAAAAGGTATTCAGCTTGTACTGGGACAGCTTATAAACGAGTGAGTACTGTCAGGAGCAATATGTATAATTCATACCGTATTTATTTCTTAAAATGCAGACTAAAAATAATGTCCAACTGTTGTTGCTTCTGAAGTGAAATACATTTTTCTTGGTTGGTCTTAGAGCTGGTTGGTGGTGATCAGTGCTACTTTAGGCAGGTGAGGCCTATCTCAGCAAAGCATCTGGTGAATCCGCAGTGTAAAGCTCCTACTGATCATCTATGTTCAGTGTCCTGCCTTTAAGAGGCTTCATTTCTTACCCAGTGGCTTTGTGTACAGCAGCCAAATCTCATTTGCTCTCTGGCTTTGCTGTCTGCCTCAGCTGTTGACAAACCTTCTACCTCTTGTTCTACCTCACAAGCCTAAGATGCTTGAGCTAGTTATTTCATGGTTTCCAGCACACTTAACAACCACTGATGTAGCACTCTTAATATTATTCTTACTCAACCCAACAAAGAGGTTGTCCTTTCTATTGACTGAGCTTCAGGATCTGTTCTTGTTGTCAAAGAATATGAAGTCCCTGGCTCTCCTGAAATAGTTAAGACCTGTCTTGTTTACTAACACTGTTTTCCAATTTTCATTGACATGTTTTCCTCTTTCTCTTGCTTGAAATTTCCATACAAGTAGATAAATGGCCCATCTTAATGCTCACTACCTGCTTATCAGGCTTTTTAAAAAAAACACACATTTTCACATACACTTTATTCATTTAAAATAATTTTCATCTTATTTTTGCAAAGATGTAACAGGAGATATATTAAAAGAGGTCAGTTATTCATTATGTGATCTTGAGGCTGACTTTGAATGTCACACTTAATGTGTTGTCTTTTCTTTTTCTCATTCTTACAAAAGGAGTTATCTGGATCAATTAGCAGAAGAAATAAATGATAAACTACAGGAAACTGGCCAGGTGACAATATCAGAACTCTGCAAGACGTACGACCTTCCAGGAGACTTTCTGATACAGGTGATGAAAGCCACCAACCTGGCAAATGCAGAATTAGTTGTGACCACTTTCTTCATTTATCTTTGGCTTTAAGTCACTATTTTGTACAAACTTAATGTTAAGATTAAATGTTAATTTTCATGGTGCATCTGTAAATCATGCTTCTGTTTTCTGCAATGTTTTCTGTCGTTACTACCTATATATCTGATGGAAGAAGGCATGCTTAGAAAAGCTCAATTCTTCTATTTACAGGCATTATCCAGGCGTTTGGGCAGAATTATTCATGGACAACTAGACCAGGAAAACCGTGGGGTGATTTTTACAGAAGCCTTTGTGTCCCGCCATCGAGCACGCATTCGTGGGCTCTTCACTGCAATTACTCGGTAAATTGCAATGCCTGCAACCACATATTAAAATATTTTTGCCGTAGGTCTTTATGGGCCAGATTCACTTGTGATTGAAAAGGAAGAGAAAAAAAAGACCTATGGATAGATTCCCCTCAGTGTAGTTCAGTTCCTGGGACCAGTTCTCAGTTATCTTAGACTTACTTGTTAGAAATGGGGACTCTCTTTTGAAAAACAAGGGAAGTATAACAATATACAACATACTGTAGTGTTTTGGCTGAAGGAAATGGTAATCTATATAGTTCTTTTGTTACTTTGTAGAATCTGTCCTCAGCTCCACTGCTTCTTAGTCAGTTACATATTGATGTAACTATATGTGATTATAAATAACTTTTTCTTACTAAATCAATAAATTTTTGTGTCACTTTGTAGGAAGAGGAAAACTTAACAAAGCAGAAGTTTGCTTACAATAATTATCATAGCTTTTGTGTTATCACTTCACAGTAATTCAGAATTAAGATCTTGTAAGCTATTTTAAACATCAGTGTCGTACCCTGAGGCTAGGATACTATGTGGTTCTGTTCATCTATAGTAACCTCTTTTATTTCTGGATTCTTCACGTCAGTTTCGTATCATTAATTTATATTGTTTTGTTTTTCTTTTTTTCCAAGGCCTACACCTGTAAGTAGCTTGATCACTCGGTATGGATTTCAAGAACATTTGCTTTACTGTGAGTTTCATTCAGAATATTTTGTGTGTTTGTTAGGAAGTCCATTCTTCATTATTAAAAGTGTGCTTTCAAAGAAGCTTTTTAGCATATAGCCTTAATTCTGAAATACAGAACAATCTGTTACTCTTTAGTGTAGAAAGTATTAAACCCTTTGTGCTATCCATAACTGAAGGGATGTTCCCTGTATCCGAAGCAAGGAAAACATTTGTTGACAAAATG